CTACCTTTAGATCTTTCCACCTTCACAGTGACAGTCAGTAAAGATGCTTCCTTTAATCACATTACCTCTTCTTCTTTCTCCTCCTCCTTCTCTTCCTCTTCCCCCTCCTCCTTTCTTCTTTAGACACAGAGTCTTGCCACGTTATCCAGAAAACCATGAACTTTCACCAGTTCTTCTTTGACCCCTCAGTGCAAGAGTCACCATGTTTGGCAAGAGACATTTCTTAAAATGGACAGATTTGGTTGAAGGAAATGAGTACGTTTAAGGTTTCTGTTAAAATTTCCAAACAGAACTGGTCGTGGTACAGAGCTCTTCACTCAGCACTCAGGAGGCAGAAGCAGGTGGAGCTCTTTGAGTTCCAAGCCAGTAAGAGTGATATACTAACACCTGGTAAAATTAAACTGAGCCCCAGAAACTTCAAAACTGTTTTTCTAATGGGTTTACCAACTTTTATCACTTCTGAAAATGGACAAAGGGGATGTAAAAAGTTCAACTTGCCAGTACTTGATCACTATTTTTTTTTTTTTTTTGAGAAAAAATCTCATAATATCTACCAGGGTGTACTGTTTCCTGAATGTGCACCGCTATGTTCTGGAAATTTCCTTCCTCTTCCAGATCCTTTTCCCTTTCATTTCTTTCCCTCCTCCCCCCCCTTCTCCTGTTTCTTCCCTCTCCTCCAACCCTTTATTCTATCAGCAAGTTTCATTTCTTTTTCCAACAAGTAAAGAACATTTCTTTAGTTTTTCCTGTACATGTCTTTTTCACTCCTTAAGGGGCTCACTTTTCCCACTGTGAATTCCTTAAAGAGTTCTGTAGGTACTTAAGCGCCCTCAGAATCATCTCAAAGAAATACAGCAAGGAACGAATGATCAGTTTATTATAAAGCCCCTCAAGCCAAGCCTAGGCAAACAGACCTTCCCAACTTGCTGTCTCAGCCCTGCAGCAGAATTCACACAGTGTATCCTGGAGAGTCTCCCATCCCCCTCCACTCCCCCCAGTGCTAAGCTGCTCACTGGACTTTGATTGTTGGAAGACTATGGCAGCAGATACAGCCTTGTAAAATACAGCCCTTCTTGACCAAGCTTCTAGTAAACAAATCCAGTTCACTGACTAGGTATAGAAAGAAAAGTTTACAGCCTGAAGGATACACAAAGGAAAAGGGGAAAATGAAAAAAGTTACAGAGTGAAACAAAACACACAAAAACAATGAAAAGTCCCACCCTAAATCCACAGAATAGATTAGTGAGTTTGTATTAATATATATATATATATATATATATATATATATATTAATGGCTATGAGTGTAGCTTTGTCTCACCCAGAGACTTACAACTCAGAAACTTCTCAAGCAACTAAAAAATGATGGGTGTTATTAGGTAACATGGGAAGGCCCATGGAAAACATCTCCCAAACTAAAGGGATGTGGGGGAAGGGAGGGAGAGAGAGAGAGAGAGAGAGAGAGAGAGAGAGAGAGAGAAAGAGAGAGAGAGACTGGGGAGTGAGAGCAATCATATAGCTGATGTCTGCTTCTTGGTACTATTTTGTGGCACCTTATGGGGGAAATTACTATTTTTGGGGGGATAATTTTTATTAGATTAGACTTATATGCCACCTGAAGTGGTTATTCATCACATTCCCCAGTTTCAAATGCAGACACTGCAAAAAACAAACAGAATAAAATCAAGTGCAAAAGTGGGGGTCTTGAGGGGAAGGATTTCACATTAAAACAGTTCCTAACTGGAGAGTTGCTCCTGGGTCAGGGAAGTGACATCAGCACCCTGTATAGCAGCCAGAAAAAGCACCTGAACAGCCCTGTTAGTAAACTGAATGGAGGTAAGCCTAGTCCTTGGTGCTGTGGCAGTGGATACTTCTCTCTCTAAACTTACAGATCCTTTCAGTGTCGTCATAGTCAGTTTAACAACAGAGAAAGTATGATGTGATACTTGCTTGTAAAGTTCTATTTTTTGCTTTTCTTTTGGCTGGTGCTAGAGATCAATCCAGGCACTGGGGCACGTGGGCCAACACTCTATTACTGAGCTGTGTATCCCCAAATGGCTTTCAGATATTTTGCCAAGAACATTGCCTTCATTGTGTATACTTTCACCTGACTATTCAGGTCTACTGATCCCTCCAGGCTCCTGGTTCAAACTCATGACCATACCTCCAAGCTGCATTAATAACCCCACCCTTAGTTATAACTTTAAAGAACATTTTATTACACAAAGGTTGTCACAAGTTGGATGATTTTCTACTTTGTACACAGTTATTCTCTCTCCACAGAAAGGCTGCTTCTGAACCACTGACAGGTTTTTAACTGATAGCAATGCTCCAATCTCATTTCTCACTCCTGTAATACAGTACTTCTCCTTTATCTATTTGCTTCCCACCCAGCAACAAACTGAAGATTACAAGTACATTCCCGATTGCTTAAGCATTTGGTAGTTCCTAAATATTCTGATTGGGATTCCATGAATACAAACACCATAGATTCATGGAATTTTTGTTAACCATTAGCCTTTGGGCCTTCAGGCTATTTTTAGGGTATTTGAATTTCCTTCTGAAACACCTTTTACACACAACCAGAGCTGCATCCCGAACATGCTCAAACTCCAAACTGGCTGGCTGCTGCTGCCATGTCTCATCATGTAAAGTTGGGAGCCTTCTGCTTCACCCTGCCCACGTGTACCCTTTCAGTCAAATCAAAGTGGTGGTGTGTTCATGCACACACAGATCACGGTCCTTCTGGAGACAGGACTTTGTCCTAACTGGAATCCTCTTCCCTTCCTCACATCCAGGTGAATGAACTTCAGTAATGGGAGTCCTCTCCCAGACATGGAACTCCTGGCAGGAAGTAAGGGGACTCTTGACTTCGGACACAACAACTGGGACAGATTTGTGTGTCTAGTTTAAGCTTGTCCAATGTGTGTCTTTGGAAAGTTAAGCATGTGACTTACAGTTTTGAGTAGCTCTTTTACCCAAACTTTTCTACATGGAGGAAAAATAGCATGTTGGCTCACTCTTTTTTTTTCCCCCTTTTTCTTTCTCTTGAACATTGGCTCATCTCTCACAGCTCGGCCATTCTTGCTTTCTCTGTGAACTGATTCTCCCAGCACCCCTGCCCTGGACACTTGTGGGAGAGGAATGCACAAATTCCTGTGAGGTTCGATCACTGGAACACGTTCTCAGGAGCTGCAAACAGGAAGTTTTTGTACTTCTGTCTACTCTGTGCTTGGGGCAAAACTGGTCTCCATGTAAGATTCTTCAAAAAGAAATGCAACCTTCATGATCCCTATCTAAAACTTTTTACGAGGCCATAGATCCACCCAGGGCTTCTCTATCCAGGCCTGGTGTCTCTCCTGCAAGGGGGAGTCAGCCAACAGAAAAGTCAGGTTATAGCCCCCAAAACTGTCTCACTCCACTTTGTACATCTTGAGCGGGACATTTAAAAACCGGTTTGGGATTTCTAAGTTTTCAAAGTGTCCAGAGGGCAGTCCCCTTTGGCAGCGACACTGCAGGGTGGGAGTCAGACATTGGCTCCGGTTGGTCCCCCACCCCCTCGGTCGCAAAATCCTGTCCACCTCCCTCAGATCTCAGGGCTTCACCTTGCCACTTCCTTCAGCTCACAGAGGGGCCAGCAGCGGCTTCCCTCTGCCCGAGTGCTCGGCCTCCTCAAACAACACCCTTCATTTCGTGCCTCTCGGGGCACCTGGGAAGCCCCAGCCACGCGCCGGGGCCGTAGCTCAGGTACGGGATCCCCTGGCAACCCTGGGGCCCGCTAGCCTCGAGGGGTGGGGGGGCGGGTAGTCCAACGGGCAGCGCTTGCCCCCGGGGAGGCGGGCCCAGGCCGGAAGCCACCCGCGGCCCCGCGAGACCGCGCCCCCGCCTCCTCCCTCTCCTCCTGCACAAGCTCGGCAGCCAAGGGCGCAGGGGCCAGCCCGCCGGTCCCCGCCGCGCTCTTTGTCCGGGCCGCGCGCGGGCGGACGGACGCGCGCGCATCTGCTCTCCGCCCCCCCTACCCCCTCCCCCGCCGGTGGAAAGGAGGCGCGGCGGGGGCGCGCAGGAGCGGCTCGCTCCCGGTCCGCCAGGCGAGCACGCGCGCCGCCGCGCCCGCCCCTCCCCCTCCCCCCGCACACATCTCGCTCTCTCTTCGGAACTTGCTGACTGCGCGGCCGGGAGGAGCCGAGCCGAGCCGAGCGCCGGGCCGGGCCGGGCGGCGGGAGGCTGAGCGCGCAGGGGGCTCCCGCGTCCCTGCCTCGGCCGGCGGAGCGCCCACCCCACCGTGGCTCCCGGAGCGCGGGGCGGCGCCACCCTCCGGCCGCAGCGCGGCACTGCACGGCCGCCTGCGACTTTCGATGTTCCACACTCCCGGGCCGGAGCCTCGGCGGCGGCTTTTTTTTTCCCGCCCCCCCGTCCCCCCCCCCAGCTGCCTCCATTTCCTCAAGGAAGGCTCCGCGGAGCTCTCCCTCCCCCACAGCGTAGCGGCGCACGAGCGGGCCGGGCGGGCGGCCGAGGTAAGGCGGCGGGGCCGGGGCCCGCGTGGGGGGCGGCGGGGGCGGGGGCGGCAGCTTTGTTCGCGCCGGGCGCCGCGCTCCTCAGTCAGCCGCGCTCGTCAGCCCGCGGCGCGGGGCGGCGGGTCCCGCATCCCCCGGCCGGCGGGCGGGCGGGCGGGCGCAGTGGCGCGGTCCCCTACGCGGCCCTCCCCACAAAGGACCGCGGAGCTGCGTGGCCCGGCGCTCGCCCCGGGGCGGGCCGCGCCAATTTGTTGCACTTCTGGGGGTGGGGGGTGGGGGCAGGGCTTTTGTTTGTTTGTTTGTTTGTTTGTTTTGCCCTCGGGCTTTTGGCCGCTTTGCGGATTTTTTTTTTTTTTTTGACAAAATGTCGGCCGGTGAGGGAGGAATTGAGCGGGGGACGTCGGTGGCACCGGGATCTTTGCAGAAGAAGGTGCAGTTCGGATCCTGCCCTTCTCCGGGTGGCAGCTCCAGCTTGGCCGGGTGAATCCTCGCCGCTGGCGGTGGGGCGGCTGCCAGTTTTTTTTTTTTTTTTTTTAATTTTTGAGTGTGGTGTTCTAAGGCTTTCGGTGCGCACGGGAGGACCCGACACCGTAAATAAGCATATGGGCGACTAACAGGGTATGTTTTCCTCTGGGAAGGAGGATTTGGTAGCTCAGACCGGTGTCAGCCTGTAAATATTTAGACGATATTAGTGACTTCTGAACATTCTCGGCGAGATCTGTTATTTACAGTTGTCATATGTTATTAATGCCCGTTGCCACAAGTTCCCTGGCAAATCTGTTTCATGCCTTCTGAGAAAGTAGACAATTGATAGATTGTCTAAGGGATGAGGGAAAAAAATGTGAGTGGGTTTTCCAACTTGTTTTTGGTAAATCCCTCAACGCCTGCTTTATAAGACACATCCGCCTCCTTGTAACCTTGCTGTATGGGGACTGTCGAATCTTTTTCAATAAAAGACTCATAGGTGCTTATAGAGAGAAGAACATGCTGCTGGCTTATTATTGTTGTTGTTTTAAGATTTAACATTTCTCTACGGTCCCTTCTCTCCTTAGAAGTTTTCTCAGAGATAACTTCACCAAGATGTCCAGTGATAGGCAAAGGTCGGATGATGAGAGTCCCAGCACCAGCAGCGGCAGTTCAGATGCAGACCAGCGAGACCCTGCAGCTCCAGAGCCCGAGGAACAGGAAGACAGGAAACCTTCCGCCACCCAGCAGAAGAAGAGCACCAAACTTTCTAGCAAAACGACTGCTAAGTTATCCACTAGTGCTAAAAGGTAATGTCTGCAAGGCAGGACTCAGGTTGCCTTCTGTCCCATCCGGTGTTTTTGTTGGTTTAACAACAGTAGCAATAGTTCAGAAATAACCTCTCCATCAAATAAATGTGTTTGAACTTGAATGAGCTGTCATTCTGTATGTGGCATATAAGCAACCTTTCTACAGCCATTGACTTTAAGGCAAATGTACTTTGTTCTGGACTGTGGTAACTTGAGTTGTCTCAAGAGGAGCTGGGGGTGAGCCTGATAGATGAGGGAGGTGGCAAGGAACATTTGGAGAGGTTTCATCTTGTGAGTCTTGCTTGAGTGAAACTGACAATTCTAGAGAACAGCAGTGTCTCTCTCCCTAAAACTGGATGGTCAGAAATGATAATATTTACTAGAAAATTGGTAAATACCAGGCTTGTCTATATTGGGAAGCAGGTCTTAGAGTATGCTTTAAATTGGTCCACAGTTTGTATGCAGCGCAGGAGTGACTGTGGGTAAATTATTGTTATCCCTCCTTGTGAGGGCAGATAAAAGTGAAGAGTAGCCAGTTACAGTTTAGATGTCATTCAGTGTCGAAGTCTTCCTCTTCTCTCTCAAACTTGTGGATCTATTTGACAGGCTAACTCAACAGCAGGGGACTGAGTCAAAGTTAAAGATCACTTGTTTTCTGTTGATTTTTCATATGCTGGGATGACAGAAAAAATCCTGCCAATGGGGACTGTGAGGGCTATTTGTATTGGGATATCTAGAGAAACTATCAATTAAAATGTGCTCACATTACCCAGTACAGGTGTTTGTTTGTTTGTTTGGTCATAGATGAAGGAAGAAAAATGTATTGTGATTCAAACTTTGTATGGATTTTAACCACCAATCAAATGCTAACAGCTTTAGAATAATTTATTGACTAGGAACAGTGTTTGAAATAATCTAAAGTGCCCAATTCATTGTGATCTTGAGGAGGAACATATTAAACATGTCTCAAGTTTTGGAAACATCCTAAATTTGAATAAAATCAGCTGTAACTTGAGCTTATATATCTTCTTCCCTGCTGCAAATTTGGAGGTATATGTAAATATCAGAGAGGACAGTCACAGTTAATGTGAGTGCCAATTTAAAATTTTTCATTGGCAATGTTGTTTATAAATTTTAAACTTTCTGACAGATAAAATATCACCAAAAACTATTAATGTGCTCTAGTAGCAGCCTATTAATTTGTAACTCAGTAAAAAGTGACTTGAAATCATTGTCAAATTCTCTGGTGTTTTCCCTCCTCCCTTTCTGTCTCATTTGCATATAAGCTTGAAAAGGGAATTTCTTTGGTAAAGACTGTTTTTTAACAGATTATATGTCCTTCACTTAGTAGTCAGAAAGGACTACTTCTCAGTCAGGTGTCAATGACACAGTTATTTACAGTAGCACGTGAGAAAAAGAGCTGCAAAGTTTCTGCTGAGGGATTTGGGTTATGCCTCTGAGAACAAAGAGGAAGCAGCCATGTTAGCATTACTGAAGGCAAAGCCAGCCTTGCATTTAACTGCATGGTGGTAGAGGGCAGTGTAATTCCCCGGTTATTCTGTAGACTGCCTCAGATCCTTTTTGTTTGTTCTCACTTCACTTACAGAATTCAGAAGGAGCTAGCTGAAATCACCCTTGATCCTCCTCCCAACTGCAGGTAAGAAACACATTTTGTTTGCAGTTCAAGTGGAGGAAAAATATTGAGAAATTAATTATGTTGCCTGGATGTATGTGCAGCCTAAGAAGCTGGCTTCATTTGTTTTATCTTTTGAAGTGCACTAAACTAAAATTATCCAGATTAATTAAATAAAGATGGGAGAAAAGATAGCATATATTCATTGTGAATGTGGGAAAACAGGATGGTGCTGATTTTGCTTGTATGTCTGCAGAGCATTTTTGTTCAAAACTGTATTTCAGTGATTTCTAAAATTTTTAGCTTTAAAGAAGTGTTTGTGTGCATTCTGAACTGACCTCCAAATTTAGAAATTGCTGAATGTGGTGTTAGAAAATGTAAGTGCAGTGAACAAGAGGGTAGTCGTTTCTGTTTGATTTATTAGTAACTCGCCTTAAGGATACATTTTATAGCCTAAAGTAATAGTTTCAGTTGTTTTCCAGAGGGTGCATTGTTGGAATTGTTTACATTTTAAGCAGTTCTAATTACTCAAATTCTTAGTTAAGTAGACAGTAAATTGTAATTTTGGAAAGAATAATTTAAGATTGTTGTGTTTAATAATGTTAAGATGCATCAAAAGTAGCCAATGACATTTTTATCATTTTTTTTTCATTTCATCTTACATGCTGTACTTTTTAGTTTTGAACAGTGATTATATGGATTATGAAATATATTCAGTTAAAAGATAAATTTAAATGATTTACATAGAGATAGATGCTTTTGATTGAGTGTCTGAGTGCAGTTGTGGCAATGTTATAATTTGGTACTAAAGGATTTAGTGTTTAATCTGTTTCTGCTACAAATTCTGTGTTTCCTTGTGTTCAGACACATCTCTGAAGTCAGCTATAGACACAGATGTAACCATTGACCTCTTACTGTGTATATTAATTAGATCTGTTGATAAGGTGATCTGATTTTTAATTTTCCAATGAAGTTTTTGGAAATAAGCAATCGTTGGTGCTTATTAAAAGTAGGTATGTCCAACTAAAGTATAAACGTAGGAGGTGTGCTATCTCATGCAGTAGCCACTAGCCACTTGCAGCTTCACTTGTGACTAGTTCAAAATGACATGCTAAAAGTGTGACATATGCATTGGATTTTAAAAGCTTAGCAGAGCATAAAATTCTGCTGTTACATGTTGAAGTGATATGATTATGTTTAATAAATGTCATTAGAATTATTTTCACCTTTTTCCATGTAGTCTAATTACTAGAAAATTTAAAACTAATTATGAGTAATACCACATATTTGCTGCTTTAAAAATAAGTGAATTGAAGTATTTTTGTCCAGCCTCCCAAATGGTGTGTAAAATCTGTGTTCATTTAAAAAGGTCAAGTTAAGTTCGTTCTCTGGAAGAATCACTTAATTTGTAATATGTGTACTTATTTTCTCATTATGAGAGATGTAAAGATACAGAACTCTCAGATATTTAAAAGTTGCACATAAGATCAAACATTTTCAAAGGTGGTTGACTTTTGTGCAAACAGCACAATCCCGGGGACAAGAATGTACAGTGTGGTAGAACTGTATTGATTGCCCTCAGATCAGTGCTGGCATGGTAAAGGAGCCAGCTTTTATGTTAAACGCAGGGATGTTCCCACCATGTCACTGAGAATCACTTTAGAGGAAAGGGAAGCTTTCCATGGGGCAGAGAGTTTTATTTGTTCTGAATATTTCCTCCATGTACCAGTCCATAAGATAGTGCTTAGCATTTGACCATTAGACTAGTGGACTAGTGAGACTTTGGGCATGCTTGTGCACAGCTGTTTGTGCCTGTTTTCCCTTGCTGCACTTGATAATGTCAACTATTAAAGGTGACGTTTTTCAGTTCTCTGTCTCTTTAGTATCTGTATTTCTTTGAAGCTGTAACTAATCAGAAAGCATGTGGCGAATGTAAATTGTTTCTTGGCATTTTGAAGTTAGGCTATCCTCGCTTGTATATCTTAGATGTAAAAAGACCAGACACTTGAGCATGTCTAATTCTGGGTGGATGATATACTCCTCATCTAGTCTAGGGTAGGAACTTTGTAGATTGAGTGTGTAGTGTTTAGTTCAGGAAGTGTAGAATTTTGACAGACAAACTTAAATTTGTATTGTGGTATTTTTTTTTTTTTTTTGGTCTTCATATCAGGTCTGGGAAAGAAAACCACAATGTTCTTTAAATTCCTAAATATTTAAATGTTTGTTGTAAAGCTGTGGAGATTGTATACTTTAATCATTATTTAGGCTACCATTAAAATGAAATTCCATATTCTTAAGTACATTTCAGATATGTGGGTTTATATTGTCTGCAATGTAAAAGACCTAATAACTTTTGACTTTTTATGTTAGAATACCATTCATAGTTTTGAATGTGATTTTTTTTTTTTTTTTTAAACAAGCTTGTCAAAGTATGTGAGAGATTTAATTCTTCCTCAAGGCAGAAATGTAATGTATATCTGTGTATCTGTGTATCTAAGGAAAAAAGTTGAGTAAAATCCAGGAAAATTCAGAAAAAGTCAAAGTACTCAGACTAGGAAGAATTTTCTTACATTTCTTCTTTTAATTAGCTTTCTTAAGTTAGGTCTAATAACCCAGAATGATCAGGTACTGAATTAGATGTTGAATTGTGTGGTGATGCTTTATGGTCTAACAGATAAAGCTTGCCTGAAGATTAGAGTGTAAAACTAGCCACACTAGTCAGCCATACAGGCTAGGCTGTGGTGGTACACACCTTTAATCCCAGCATTAGAGAGGAATATAAGATAGGAGGAGACTGGAGTCAGTCAGTCTTAAATCCTGATGAGGACAGGATTGCATCTCTTTTGATCTGAGCCTTGGTAGAAGTTGGGTGCTTTACTTTTCTGATTTTCTGTCCAGTGTTTGGCTGTGTTTTAGTTCTGGAATTATGAGGTGCTACTGCTCACAGGCAGGATCAGACTCCCTACTCAGGTCAGTCTCTTTGGAAACACCCTCACAGACATGCCCAGAAGGGCATCTCCCAGTCCCAGGTGATTTCAAACCCAGCAGGTTGCTTATGAAGATTAGCTATCACAGATGCAATGCTTATTTATTACTTTAAATTTATAGTCTTGCAATCCAGGCCAATTATTTGTATGCTAGAAAAGTTGAAAGAAAATTGTGTGGGTGTTGCTTTGCTTTGAGAGAAACCTGTTGACATGACTATGGCGTAATGAGCTGGAAGGGTGACCTCATCTTACAGGCACTACTTGTAGAAACTCTCACGTTTAGAAAGACGCCATGTTTCTAATTTAGGCCCTAATTTCTCTGTGTATATAAGGAAGTACAATTGTATGCTTCTAAAATAGTCTTTAGCATTTTAAGATTGAATCTATTATGATGCAGACAGGGTATTGATAGTTTTTGGATGTAGGGGATGTCTTAATTGGCATAGATACTAGAGTTTTAAGCTTATCATGATATTTTTTCAGATAAAACATAAAATCAGGGGCATACAAATTTTGACAGTTTATCCCTGAAGGAAAAGTAAAGCTGGAAGTCTGATTTTTAAATGAGAAGCTGGTAACGTCTCCCTTGCTCATAGGCTTAATCAGAGATTTTTTTTTTTTCTACTGTCCTCTGGACCTTGCTTAAACTGCTTTTTATGGTAGATCAGACCCTTGCTACTAGTAGGGTGACCTGTAGTCTGTGCATCACAAGTGGAATTGTGTCACTCCCCTCTTCCTTTGCCCTCATCCATCCTTTACCAGAGGTGTGGAATCAGACAGAACCTTGAATGTAACAAGATTTGAAGTTTTGTTTGTTAAGTTTTGAAAAGTCCTAGTGTAAAAATAAGACTATCTGGGTTCAGATCCTTGCTCTGCTGCTACTTAGTAGAATGTCACTATTAACAAGCTATGCTATATTTCTATCCTTCCATTTTCTCAGTTCTAAACAGTATGGAATTCTAGGAAAATACTTATTTTGTATTGGAGAAAGCATTAAAGATAGCTTATGTTTGTCCTTTTTTCAGTTGTGATAATTCTAATTCTAGTTACCATTTTTATTTGCTTATAAGAAACAACTGATATTTACAGTAATTTTACTTTTTGCATATAAACCAATATAGAAGAACTTGAGACTGTTTTAAGACTAAATTGACTTTATCCCACCCAGAGGAGTAACTGAAAACAGTACTCCTGAAAGGTCATAGTTTTATTAGGATCTTTTAACACTCAGTTCAAATAATGTCAGAAAGTGTGTGGGAAAAGTTACACACTGCAAATTCTAGTCTCTCTATATGCAACCATTTGGTACCTTATGCCTTATTCTCATCTTGAATATGATTCTGTAACAGGTGCATTGTGTTCAATTATCAGGAAGATCAGCAAGATTTACTTGGATGTTCAGATTGAGAAGGCAAAACTTGACCTTTTGTTTTTTACACATATGGGAGAAAACACCAGGCACTGGTTTAGAGAATAGAATATTACTGTTTTTCTTCCCATGTCTTTCAATAGGGAAATATGTTTGGCCATTTTACTAGAGGCCTCCATACTAGAGGATGAAGTGTATTGAATTTTTTAAGTATTTTTCTTTTGCTTCTTGATCAGTGGTTTTGTGCTCATCTTGGGGATAGTTGCCAATGCCCAGAGATATCATTGTTCTTGAGAATTGGAAAAGGACACCACTAGATTTAGTGGGTAGAAGTCATAGATGCTGCTGTATGCTCTGTAAAACATAAGAGAATTCCTTTACCCACCCCTCCATCCCCCAAGAATTATCAGAACAAGAGCATCTGTAATGCTGGGAGGAACATTGTAGACACTTGATCCTGTACTTTGCCTCATAAGTCAATGGAGCTTGCTTTTGACTGCTTTCCTGGTGATGTCAGCTTTAATGTATTCATTCACCTACACTACTCCTTGTCTTGCCAGTCCTATTACAGTTTACATGTGTCTTATATTTTGATGTATGAAGCCACAGGAATTGGTACCATGAATATCTGCTAAATTACAGCTTTTGAACTCAGAAATGCTTTCAGA